AAGAAAACAATTTTTAGTTCTAATAGAATAAATCTTATTCATAAAAACAAAGAAAGTAAGGGGAAAGGCACTGAAACTCTGAGGTATTAATTACTCTGCTTTTACATAGGGGTAGGTACAGCAGTACAATTCTATGGTCCTTATATACACAAAGCTTCCGTTAACTTTTGATAAGTCTGCCTTCATAAGAAACACAGAATTACTTTCTCATATACAATTTTTTTAATTAGTAAGAGGATCTCATAATGACACTTACACAGGCCCTACATTCCCATGCGTGAGAATTCTCAGTGAAGTGACTTCACTTTTACTGAGGGAATGACTGAATTTTGTGCAGGATTCTCAATTCTCAATATATCAATAACATTAAAGAGTGCCCATTTTCACATGTACACCATAGAATACTATGCAGCCACAAAAAAGGATGAGTTCATGTCCTTTGCAGGGACATGGATAAAGCTGGAAACCATCATTCTCAGCAAACTAACACAGGAACAGAAAACCAAACACTGCATGTTCTCACTCATAAGTGGGAGACGAACAATGAGAACACATGGACACAGGGAGGGGAACATCACATACCAGGGCCCTATCGAGCGGTGAGGGGCTAGGGAGGGATAGCATTAAGAGAAATGCCTAATGTAGATGACTGGTTAACAGGTGCAGCAAACCACCATGGCACGTGTATACGTATGTAACAAACCTGCATGTTCTGCACATGTATCCCAGAACTTAAAGTACAATAAAAAAAAAAAGAGTGCCCATTTTATTTTCAATTGTTTAGATAAATGGGATTAAAGAAAATACAGTTTTGCGAAAGGAATTTTCTACCACTCAGTTGCCAGTAGAGTTATGCATGAAGAATTCATATTAAGTCAAAAGAGAACAGAATATATTTGAAAGCACAGCTGACTCCCTTGATTCCGTTTAATGAATGGAAATACTCAAGATTCAGGTCACTATGGACCCTTTTCCCTACTCAAAAAGAAACCCTCCCCATTAATAGCCATTAGAATGCTCCACATTTTTAAGTTTGCAATATCATGGCCTCATTGCAAATTGGATATTTAGGGAAAACTACATTTCCTTCCAAAGAAAATGTTTTTTAAATGCACAATTTCTCTATCATGCATTTTTTAAATAATAAGAACAGAAAATCTAACTGTTTTGCAACTAGGCTCAGGCAACTGCCCAGGCAGCTTATAGAACTGATATCAACAGTTTTATGCCTGTCAGAAAATCATTCGAAAGACTTTTTTAATCTGAAAAATAACATCATCACTGTAGATTCCACCCTGATATCCGAAGGCAGGAATTACATTGTGTTGTTAAAATGTTAGCAATGCATTTCATTTTTTTTTAAAGGCAATTTAGTTTTCCTGAAATAAAGAGCTGATTATATCTCTTATTACTGTTACAAGAATTTGATATATCACAAAGTGAAAGAGTTACAGCATGTGTGAACTATCAACCAGGAAAAATGAGCCTGATACATAATTCACTTTGAGAATGTCTAGTCAGTCAATCAAGTGATTTGTAATCATGAAGGCTGCCAGAAATTGAATGAAGAATGGGACACAGTAAAATTCTTAGTTTTTTTTTTTTTTGTTTTTGTTTTGTTTGTTTTTTTTAGTATTCTTATTTCATTATGTGGCTTTTATTGCCATTTTTGATCACTGTTTCTCAGCAGCACAAATTAAATCACACATACTTACTTAGAAGTTTTTGAGTACTAAATAGACTAAGGATATACAAGTTGAATGACCAGAGTATAGAATGTCTTCCTACAAAATTAAAGGTTTTAGTGTTTACAGTTTGAACAAGGAAAATTTCATTCCTTCCAATCTCCTCCACCCTCTCCCCACTTTATTTGAATTACTTAGTATATATGCCACTCATTCTAACATGGTGTATTTCTATATATTCTAAAACAAGTGAAATCATTTAACAGAACCTAGTTAATATTAGAAACCTTAAGCTTCCTTTTAATATCCTCATTGTAATTCCTCAGTTAAAACTATAATATGACAGTCAAAGAACATTTAACTTCTAATTAATACAATCTCAGTAAATAGGCAAAATATAAAATGAACTTATAGCCTGATATATTACTAAAGGGGTAATGTGATAAATGAGTGTTTTTTGAAGTGTAAACTATTGAACCATGTAAGAATGTGCCATTCTGACAATACTGGCCATTATAAGCTTTTTCATCAGCATTGCATGACACAGAATTACACAGCTTTAAAGTAAATGAAACTTTAAATATGGTAACAAATGTGCTCCTCCTTTGATTTACTCTTCATAATTTTCAAGCAGAAGGGTCCTTTTCCAGCTTTAGACTGATTATAACACAAGATCTCCATAGAGAAAGTAACAGAGTTCTTAAACTCCATTATACTCATTACTGAAATTTAGTATTAATTTTTTAAATTCAGCTGTATAAATTTTGTGGGTAAATTTCCAATAATAAATGTTTGGTTTTTCAAAATAACAAAATTTCAGACACACATTATACGTCTACTCTAAGAAACTAGTGTAACTATGGTGAGACCTTGGGAAAGATGCTGTTTTCCACACTGAATATTCCCTGAAAAGTGTAGCAGCACTCCACTTGGGAATTCACATTATCATCATTATCACACCAACGACTAGAATCACCTTTTCTTTCCTGTTTAACTTATTCATTCATTCCACAAATGCTCATTAAGTAACTACTATTGCCAGGTATTATGCTAGAAATTGGGGACATGAAAATGAATTTAAAACATAGTCTTTGTACTTGCCCTTAAGAAATCTACAGTCTAGTAAGAAGAAGACATAAGTAAATAAGAACAATGAAATATAGGCTCTAGAAGAGATCTATATCTTGGAAATTTCAGTGACAGAGGTCAGTAGTCAAGAAGGATTTCAAAGTGTTCACCAAGTTCAATCTTGAATGAAAGTTGGTACCTATCAGGGAGCAAAGAGGAAAGCCTATAATGGTAAGAAGGAGAATATGAACAAAGACAAAAGTGCAAAATAGCTTATCATGGTAGGATGAATACAAGCTAGTCAGTTTAACTGGGGTTTAACATGTAAGAAGTACATACGATGTTGGGTAGTAATGGAAAAGGCTGCCAGAAGCCTCTTTGAAAAACAATTCATATTGATGGTTAGGCTAGTTCAATCATGTGAGGTCATGTACATGTAGGATAAGGATCCTCTTCCCTCATATCTAAAAGTAGTTTTGACTTCAGTGAGCATCAGTCCTACAAATTTTTGACCTTGGGATTTGTTTATACTGTAAAGAAGAAAAGTTGAAAGATAGTAACAATTATTAAAAAAAAAAAAAAAAAAAAAAACCACAGGCAGGACACTAGCAAAGCAAGACTGTAAAGAAAATTTACTTTGACAACCTGACAATGGTGATAACTCAAGTGAAAGCAACTAGAATAAAGAGGGTCAAAGCAACATAAGTGACTGCAGCAAGTTACTTATATATACTCACACATACATACACATACTTCATGATTATATAAGATTTGGTCAAATTATAAATGTAATTAGTACAGTAAAATGAAGTTATGATTACTAAATACTATTAAATGATATTGACCCTGAACTGCAGATAGCTATGTAAATATACTACTGACTCTTGTAATGATATTAAATATATAGAAGTCAAGCCCATCCTGGCTAACACAGTGAAACCCCGTTTCTACTAAAAACACAAAAAATTAGCCAGGTGTGGTGGTGGGCGCCTGTAGTCCCAGCTACTCAGGAGGCTGAGGCAAAAGAATGATGTGAACCTAGGAGGCTGAGATTGTAGTGAGCCAAGATCACGCCACTGCACTCCAGCCTGGGCAACTGCACTCCAGCCTGGGCAACAAGAGCGAGACTCTGTCTCAAAAAAAAAAAAAAAAAAAGTCAAGCACTAGATATATCTCTGGAATAGCAAACTTGCAACAAGCATTAACAATGGCCACCCGTAGACCAACTAAATAGCCTATTTGAAAATGGAAGAGAGGCCGGGTGCGGTGGCTCACACCTGTAATCCCAGCACTTTGGGAGGCCGAGGTGGGCGGATCATGAGGTCAGGAGATCAAGACGATCCTGGCTAACACGGTGAAACCCCGTCTCTAGTACAAGTACAAAAAATTAGCCAGGCATGGTGGTGGGTGCCTGTAGTCCCGGCTACTTAGGAGGCTGAGGCAGGAGAATGGTGTGAACCCAGGAGGCGGAGCTTACAGTGAGCCAGATCGCACCACTGCACTCCAGCCTTGGTGACAGAGTGAGACTCGGTCTCAAAAAAAAAAAGAAAAAGAAAAAAAGAAAATGGAAGAGAATCTTTGCTGAAATTTCCTGGTATCAGTAACATATACTTTTTTTTTTTTTTTTTTTAAGACATAGTCTTGCTCTGTCACCCAGGCTGGAGTGCAGTGGTGCGATCTCACCTCACTGCAGCCTCCGCCTCCCAGGTTCAAGCGATTCTCGTGCCTCAGCCTCCCAAGTGAAGTGTTTTTAGTACAGACAGGATTTCAACATGTTGGCCAGGCTGGTTTCAACTCCTGGCCTCAAGTGATCTTCCCGCCTCGGCCTCCCATAGTGCTGGGATTACAGGCATAAGCTACCGCACCTGGCCTAGTAATACAGTTTTAAAATAAGTATACAACATATGTGATCAATAGGACTCTTTTCTAGTATATGTACTCAAATAAGAATCATGAATTATAAGTTAGCTGGCATGTGTTATAAGGGGTGAGAATGGAGATGACAGATAGAAGTTAATCAAACAAATTTTAAGTATATTCATAGATAACAAATTATAACTTGCATTATTTTCCAATGTTGTGTTGATTTCTTTGTTGTCTTTTTGGCTCAACTAATGAAGCATCATGGTTCAAGATCCCAATAACGTCTCATAAAACAAAGTTTAAGACAAATTGTTGTTTGATAACATTGCAAAGATAAAATAACATTAACATGATCTTTCATGTATGAAGATGACACTGACTCACCATCAATAGAGACGAGCTGCAAGTTGTTGTTCCATAGTGGAGATGGGCTTGCTGATCTAGCCAATTCTCTTGCCAAAGCTCCCAGTGAATGGCAGCTTACATCTGTAAGATGATTGTTACCAGTGGTCACAGAAAATAACAAAATAAAATGATCTATACAGAAATAAAACCTATGTTTTTGGTCCCAAACTACCATATTCTGATAAACTTTTTAAAAGTCACAGATATGTATAAATACTGTATGATTCTTTCATTTAAAATTATACATGTAGTTACTCTGATCAATTCATTGTATTGTATATAATACTTACATAAATACACAAATGATGAAAGCCTGATCCCCTACCTAAGAATGTTCTCAGCTATCTTAACTAAAACAAAGATTGTTTCTGACTTGCAAAATCAGAAGTGTATAATGATGATGCTCAAAACATGAAAGCATGCCAACTTTACATCCCTCATCACCAGTAGCAATAACTGAGGAAATTACAGAATATTTTTGTTAATTTTAGAAATACTCTCTATAGCATTAAATGTAATACGACTACAGCCAAAATTACTTTGACATTTCCTAGAATTCTGAAAAATACTTCCATTTTTTATGAAGAAAAAATACTTTAGTTACTAGCTACAGTGTTCATTCTTGTTAATACAGAGGTTTTACGATAAAATAGTTCTTCTGACTCCTGATATGGAATTTTATCAGTTTCTAGTTGAATCTCCTTCATAAAATTGAGAGGCTGATAAAATATTACTGGAAGACATTGTTTGTAAGTAAAATTAATGTTACACGCTTCTTTATTATTTGAAAGAATAAGAAATTAGATTAACAACTTAAAAATTAATAAGAAGCCATTAAAACTAGATACAAGTCAAACAAAATCACAATGCTAAGTGCCTATGATGAGCAAGGCAGTATTTAGAGGTTCTGTGAACAATTATAAAAATAACAAGGCATAGAACATAACCTCAAAGAAATCACAATTTAGATATTATTGAAACATTCTTCTTTCAGTTCTCCATAGGTTTTTTACAAAAACAACAGCTAGATTCTAACCCAGATCCTCTGTTAGGACAGGAAGGATGATGCAGAAAAGTACAGCATCACCTACCACGGCATGGTAGCTACCATAAGGATGCGGCTCTGGAGCTCCTCTCACATACGGAAATAAGGAAATTTTAATAGAGATATTGAGAACATCTGCTGCAACCTGTGATGCAAGCCCACTGCCACCTGCAAACAAATAAAATTCATTAATTTTAAGATACCATATAAACATTTCCAGTCACAATTCTGTTTTAATGGGTCACGAAGCAAGTATATTCTCAACAACTTTCCATTATCATACCCCACCGACTCACCAAAATTGGATGTCTTCCACTAGATTGCAAACTCCTAAAGTTCCTCTTCATTTTGGTTTCCAATTTCTACAATGCCTAGCAGCACAAATAACTCAGTCTAGTAAGAAATTAAGATTAAAACCGGCTAACTAAAATACTCTGTAACCAGTTCTATAATAAGTTTTATAGAAACTACTACAGACACTAAAATGAAGGAAAAACTGGCTTTAAAGAATGAGTAGCTGCTGAACAGAGAGACAAGCAGAGAGAAAGCATTCTTAGTGGGAGAAAGAGGTAAAAAGTTAGGGAGGTACAAAAGGGCACACAATATTCTGAGAATTTCAAGTATTTTTGGGGGAAAGCAGCAAATAAGAAGACAAAGGCATGAGAAAGATAACGGAGATGACTTATATGCTAAAAAGCTGAACCTGTATCCTGACTAAAGAAGTGAAGACAGGAAAGTGAAGTAATCATGAAAAAGATCTTGACAGCCATATGAAAGATGGGAGGAAGAACATGACTGAAGGCAATGGACTAAATCACACAAGACAAAGGAGCTTGACCTAATGCTATATGGAGTTATAGTGACCCAACTCACCACCAATGACCATTAGGTCTGTTACCCACTAAGTCGCAAATCTAGGTACATATTTAGACAATACTACAGACACTGATTTATTTTAGAAAACTATTTATGTAATATAATCTCAATGAAAAAAATGGCAGGAATTCAACACAGGAATATCAATGTGAAAATATTAATAATGAGTAGTAGGATTAGAGGTCATGTTTTTCTTGTCATATATTCCAAATGTTCTACATAATAAAATTAAAAATAAATTCTACAACAATTTCTTGAAGCTGTGATAGCTAAAACTTGCATTAACCCTAAAAAGCCTCACCCAGGATCACTTGACAATATAATTGGGCCCAAAGCCTTCTTCACCACCACAGCTCACTATGCCTAAAATATTTATTCCTACATCAGGACTTTACCCCATGTTCTTTCTGCTTCTGTAGCAGCCTCTGGCCCCGAATGTCCATCTAAATCTCAACTTCATCATACCACCAGTTATAATGATCTCATACATGCATTACCTGCTCCATACATTTTCACATCCAATCATATGTAATTTATTGAAAACCATCTTTAGTAGTTCTCCTGTTTGTTCTTACTATAGTTTTTATATAAGAACAGACTAGTGCAAGTCAGTCCTATTCCAAAGCAAATATTCATACATGACTCATTTATGGACATATGCACATATAATTATTCCAATGTTTTGATAAACAAACTTATGTATATAACCACTACTAAAGAGTTTTCAAATCTATCTTCAGAAAAGTTGCCTACTGTTATGAGTTGAATTGTTTCCCCCCAAAATATGTTGTAGCCTTAACCTCCAACTCCTGTGAATGTGACGTTATTTGGAGATAGGATCTTTGCAAATAATCAAGTTAAGACAAAATCATTAGGGTGGGCCCTAATCCAATGTGACTGGTATCCTTATAAAGAGGTACATTTGGACACAAAGACAGACATGCACACAGGAAGAACTCCATGTGAAGGCAGAGATCAAGGTGATAGATCTATAAGCCAAGGAATGTCAAAGATTGCCAGCAAACCACCAGCAGCTAGGAAAGAAGCATGGAACAGATTCTCCCTCATACCCCTTAGAAACAACCAACACCTTGATCTCAGACTTCTATCCTCCAGAATGGAGAGACAATAGATTTCTGCTGAGTCAGCCACCCAGTTTGTGGTATTTTGTTATAGCCTCCATAGCAAAATAACACAACTACTAAGGGAAACCATGACTTCTTTCACTGAAAGTCACTAAAAACAAAAACATTTGTAAGATTACAAATCAAAAAAATATCTTGCTATTCATTTCTCACTCTGGTAGCAAATGTGCTATTTAATAGCTAAGCCAATCTAGTGCCAAAATCTTCTAAGAATAAACATGATTCATCCTTCATCCTATATAGTATCATTTACACAGACAGCATCACATAATCAAACATTAGAGAATGTAATCATTCTATAGATATTAGGATAAGAGAGTAAAATGAAGTTATATAAATTTTTCTTGGTAATGGGTAGAGTTGCTTTGTGAATTTTCATGCTGTGAAAATGTGATCTGACCCATAATACAACCAAAACATAGTATAATGAGTTACTTGATGAGCAATAATCTTGGTACAGACTAGGAATGGGCTCCGAAGTAACACATACTTCAATTCAAATCCTTGCTCTGTTACTCACTAGTTACAGGCATATCTTGAAGATACTGCAAGTTTAATTCCAGATCACAGCAATAAAGCAAATATTGCACAAAGCAAGTCACACAAATTTTGTTTCCCAGTGCACATAAAAGTTATGTCTACACTATAATGCAGTCTATCAAATATGTAATTACATTATGTCTAAAAAACTATGTACACACCTTAATTTAAAAACATTGCTTAAAAAAATGTGAACGATCATCTGAGCCTTCAGTGAGATGTAATCTTTTTGCTGGTGGAGGGTCTTGCCTTGAAGTTGATGACTGCTGACTGATCAAGGTGGTGATTGCTGAAGTTTGGGTAGCTGTGGCAATTTCTTAAAATAAGACGACAATAAAGTTTGCCCCACTGATTGACTCTTCCTTTAATGAAACATTTCTCTGTGGCATGCAATGCTGTTTGATAGCATTTTACCCACAGTACAGCTTCTTTCAAAACTGGAGTCAATCCCTTCAAACCCTGCTGTTGCTTTATCAACTAAGTTTATATAATGTTCCAAATCTGTTATTACTTCAACAGTGTTCACAGCATCTTTACCAGGAGTACATTCCATCTCAAGAAACCAGTTTTTTTTTTTTTGCTCATCCATAAGAAACAACTCATCCGTTCAAGTTTAATCATGTAATTACAGCAATTCGGTCACATCTTCAGGCCCCACGTCTAATTATAGTTCTCGCTATTTCTACCACATCTGCAGTTACTTCCTCCTCCAAAGTCCTGAACCCCTCAAAGTCATCCATGAGTGTTGGAATCAACTTCTTCCAATATCTTGTCCATGTTGATATTCTGAGCTTCTCCCATGGATCACAAATGTTCTTAATGGCAGCTAGAAGGATGAATCTTTTCTAGAAGACTTCCAATTGATTTTGCCCAGATGCATCAGAGGAATCACTACGTATGGCAGCTATAGCCTTATAAAATGTGTGTGTTTTTTTTGTTTTTTTTGTTTTTTTTTTTTCCTGAGATGGAGTCTTGCTCTGTCGCCCAGGTTGGAGGGCAGTGGCACGATCTCGGCTCACTGCAACTTCCACCCCCCAGGTTCAAGCAATTCTCCTGCCTCAGCCTCCCTAGTAACTGGGATTACAGGCGTGTGCCACCACGCCCAGCTAATGTTTTATATTTTTAGTACAGACAGGGTTTCACCATGTGGGCCAGGCTGGTCTTGAACTCCTGACCTCAGGTGATCCAACTGCCTTGGTCTCCCAAAGTGCTGGGATTACAGGCATGAGCCACCACTCCTAGACTCAAAATGTATTTCTTAATTAATAAAACCTGAAAGTTGAAATTACTCCTTGATCTATGGGCTATAGAATACATGTTGTATTAGCAGACATGAAAACAATATGAATCTCCTTGTATATCTCCACCAGAGCTCTTGGGTGGCCAGGTGCATTGTCAAGGAGCTGTAATAGTTTGAAAGGAATCTTTTTTTTCTAAGCAGCAAGTCTAAAACAGTGGGTTTAAAATATTCAATAAACTGCATGATAAACACATGTGCTGTCGTCCTGACTTTGTTGCTCTGTTTAAAAAGCAAAGGCATGGAAGATTCAGCATCATTCTTAAAGGCCCTAGGATTTTTGGAATGGCAAATGAGCATTGGCTTCAACTTAAAGTCACCAGCTGGTTTAGCCTCTAACAAGAGTCAGTCAACCCTTCGAGGCTTTGAAATCAGGCATTGGACTTCTCTGCTCTAGCTATGAAAGTCCTAGATACCATCTTCTTCCAATAGAAGGCCATTTCATCTACATTGAACATATGTTGTTTGGTGTAGCCACTTTTGTCAATCATCTTAGCTAGATCTTCTGAGTAACTTGCTATAGCTTCTACAGCAACATTTGCTGCTTCACCTTATACTTTTATGTTCTGGAGACTGCTTCTTTCCTTAGGCCTCATGAACAAACTTCTGCTAGCCTCAGTCATTTTCTCTGTAACTTCCTCAGCCTTCACAGAATTGAAGAGAGTTAGGGCTTTGTTCTAGATTAGGCTTTCACCTAATACTGTGGCTGATTTGAACTTCTATCCAGACCACTCACACTTTCTCTACAATAAGACTGTTTTACTTTTTTATTGTTTGTGTTTTCCTTGGAATAACACTTTTAATTTCCTTCAAAAACTTCTTTTGCTTCCACAACTTGGATGTTTGACACAAGAGGCCTAGCTTTTCGCCTATCTTGACTTTTGACATGCCTTCCTCACTAAGCTAAATCATTTCTAAAAGCTTTTGACTTAAAGTAAAGGAGGTATGACTCTTCCTTTCACTTGAACACTTGAAGCCCATTTTAGCGTTATTAATTGGCACACTTTCAATCTTGCTGTGTCTCAGGGAATAGGGTGGCCCAAGGAGAGAAAGAGGAATAGCTGATCAGTGGAGCAATCAGAATACACACATTTATCAATTAGCTTTGCTGTCTTCAATAGGCTCAATTTGTGGCACCTCAAAACAATTACATGAGTAACATCAAAGATCACAGATCACTCTAACAGATACTCTAACAATGAAAAAGTTTGAAATAGTGTGAGATTTGCAAATTACGACACAGAGACGCTAAGTGACACATACTGTTGAAAAAATGGCACCAAAACATATACTCTATACAGGGTTACCACAAACCTTCAATTTGTAAAAAACATAGTATCTGTGAAGCACAATAAAATGTAACACAATAAAACAAAATATGCCTGTATTATGACTTGAGCAAATTACTTAACCATGTTTGAGCCCCAAACTCTTCATCAATAAAATGGTAGTTTTACATTTTATAAAAACTGAAGAAATTAGATGATATATGAAATGTGCTTAACATATAATATTAATAATAATAGTAATAGGGCTTTACTATTTTTATTAAAAGGAATGTTTATAAATTAAGGATTTTTTTACACTTCTCTTGGGTAGGAAAAATAATTAAGCAAGCTCATGTAAGAATAAAAGTCTTGATCACGTATACTGTACACTAAATATTGCCTTTGGCTAGTTCCTGACTATAAAATGTAGGACTTTCCGAATTTTAAAACTATTTGTCAAAACTCAAAACACATTCAAAACCTACTCTTGGAACTAAAATACAAACAGGATCTCAGTGACTTTTGACTTTGCTGTTGACATCAGTTGGTATGCAGTTTTCAAAGATCCACAACACCACTCCTTTATTCCCTCAAATCTGTAAGCTTTAGCCAGTCCAGAAAACTTACCTTTACAATTTAGAGTCATATCAATTTAACTCAAATAGGATGGTATAATCTACTGAACCTTCTACCAGGAATTAGCGATGTGTTTGCTTATCTCTTTTAAATACAAATCTTGTAAAATATACATCTCAAAAATCAGCTAATTGAAGAAAATACACATTTTGAATTCACATACTTATTTTGAGAAATATTTAAATAACGCAAAACCTAACAAATCACCAAATTCAAAAGGACTTTGTCATACCATGCAAACAATCTACACAAGATACAAATTATATTCCCATATGAATTTCAATATCTGTAAACTGAAATTTGCTCCTATATCTACATATAAAGAAGTAGAAGAAATTGCACAATTAAGTCCAGAAAGACTCCAATTATTATGGAAAGAATAGTGGTATTTTTGTCAACCTCTTTGTCTAAAAGAGCTATCTGATGGCCAGGCATGGTGGCTCACGCCTGTAATCCCAGCACTTTGGGACGCCGAGGCGGGTGGATCACCTGAGATAGGGAGTTCGAGATCAGCCTGACCAACATAGAGAAACCTCGTCTCTACTAAAAATACAAAATTAGCTGGGCGTGCTGGCACATGCCTGTAATTCCAGCTATTAGGGAGGCTGAGGCAGGAGAACGGCTCAAACCTGGGAGGCGGAGGTTGTGGTGAGTTGAGATCGCACCATTGCACTCCAGCCTGGGCAACAAGAACAAAACTCCATCTCAAAAAAAAAAAAAAAAGAGAGCTATCGGCACTGGTCAAACTTGTTGGAAAATATATCAACAACCCACTTCTCCTAGTTAGAGAGATAATTATTCTTAGCATCTTTTAAAAACTTTAAGGAGCTATAAAAACATGTTCAATACTATAATAAGTTCAACAATATTAGCATCAGTATCAAAGCTAATGTACGGTCAAGACCAAACATAGGTATTTTTTTTTTTTTTAATATTTATGAAAACAGGCCAGGTGCAGTGGCTCATGCCTGTAATCCCAGCACTTTGGGATGCCAAAGCGGGAGGTTCACTTGAGCCCAGGAGTTCCAAGACCAGTTCAGGCAATAAAGTCAGACCCCGTCTCTACAAAAAATTTAAAAATTAACTGGGCATGATGGCGTATGCCTGTGGTCCCAGCTCCATATGAGACTGAGGCGGAAGGATCACTTGAGCCCAAGCGGTCAAGGCTGCAGTGAGCTGTGTTCACACCACTGCACTCTAGCCTAGGCAACAGAGACCTTGTCTCAAAAAAAAAAAAAAAAAAAAAAATTGTATAAATATATATGTGCATAAATAGATACACATATATACAAATTTATAAATATATATGTGTATATTTATGCACATATATATTTATGAAAACATGTTTTGCCTTTATTCTTAGTGTAGTTCCTAACTTTAAAACAGACTTTGTTAGTTGAGTTTTCGAAATACGAATGTGTTTTTTGCTCAATTAAACAACATAAAGGTCACTTTTCAGAAAACAATGTTATTTGCAAGAAGATAACTAAATTGACACATTTAATTTAAACAAAATATTTTGAAGTATTAAGAAAAACTCTAAGACTTTTTTTTTAAGTACTGATTTAAAGTTAGCAAACATGGCTGGGTGTTATAGCTCACACCTGTAATCCTAGCACTTTGGGAGGCCAAGGTGGGAGAATCACTTCTGGCCAGGAGTATAAGGCCAACCTGGGCAACATAATGAAACCCGTCCCTACAAAAAAAAAAAAAAAAAAAATGAAAATAAAATAATAAGATAAAGTTAGCAAATGCTATATTATATTTATTCAAGATACATACTAAATAATACTATAATTTGGGCTGTCCCCAAATTACAATTCCTATCTCCCAAGCTTCCCAGGCTAGAGTGCAGTGGCGCAAACTCAGCTCACTGCAGACTTGACCTCCCCGGCTCAAGTGATCCTCCCACCTCAGCCTCCCAAGGAGATGAGTCCACAGGCAGTGCCACCACGCTGGGCTAATTATTGTGTGGGTTTTTTTGGTTTTTTTGTTTTTTTTTTTTTGGTAGAGACAGGGTTTCAACATGTTGTCCAGGCTGGTCTCAAACTCCTGAGCTCAAGCATCCATCCACCTCAGCCTCCCAAAGTGCTGGGATTACAGGCATGAGCCACCACACCTGGCCTCAATTCCAAGCATTTTTTCCAAAAAGTGAACAGCAAGGAAAAATTAAATATATTTTATTTTTATCTTAAAGTCCCAATATAGTAATATTAATAAAAATCACATGAATACATTATACTAAGAAAATATAATTATTGGCAAAAAACCATATCAATTATTATGGATAGTAATTGGGGCAGGGAGTATGCCTTTATCTACTCCACATGCCTTAAGCATGATAAAAACTCAATAAATATGTGTTGAATATCTATACTTCGAGAACAATAAGCACAATGGTCACATAATTCTCCTGAGAATCAAATATAGAAAAATCCTAAAGAACTGGGAATTCAAAACAGGATATGAACAAATTTTTACATTATGCAAATCTAACATTGGTAAGAGAAAATTCTACCCCTTGTATCCACAAATTGTAAGTCACAGCTACAAATTATGTATTGACTGTGTCAATGGAAAATATATAGCCAATGCTGGTTTTGAAATAATCTCAACTTGGTCTAAAGTGAAGTCATTAAGAACTGAGTAGAAACGGTGCATATATTTAAGCTCCTATAATCCTGGGATTATATATGGCCAAGAAAGAAAATTTACCACATTCTGTATTATTTCTGTAACCACCACACCACATCTCTATGGAGAGCTACAATAAATAAGAAAGTGAGGTAACATATACGAACTGCACGATGACTATATATTCTTGTGTTTCACTAGGGTCTCTGGTTTTAGCATTGCTGGTTTAATGGTTAAGTCTCAATATTCTTACCACCATCATCCTGGTTCGTATTGTGGTCACGGAGAAAACAGGCTCATCATGGGCTAGTTTCATTTATCCACACCTTCTCTCTTGACTTTCATCTACCTGTTGGAGAAACACAGGGAAATTTAATCAGTGTAGAAAATTCCTTATATTACAGATATTTGCCAGAAATTTCTATTAGACAAAGAGTTGCCTTTTGAAATATTTTCACACACACCCCAAATAAGCTTTCCCAGACAGAAATGAAAAAAAAACACATTTAGTAAGTGTGAGCAAATAAAGCAATGCCTAAATAAAAGGTGTACTGAATACTGGTATCTCGATTACATTAGATCTCTCTTCCCCAACTTAATATACTAGGGAAATTTTCCTATAAGAAGCTGTTGAACATGTAAGATAATTTGACCTAAAATACAGACAAATAAACGTGTCACCTGGTTTGCTTTTTAAAACACAACTACCAGGCCGGGTGCGGTGGCTCACGCCTGTAATCCCAGCACTCTGGGAGGCCGATGTGGGCGGATCACGAAGTCAGGAGTTTTGAGACTAGCCTGGCTAACACGGTGAAAGCCTGTCTCTACTAAAAATACAAAAAATTAGCCGGCTGTACAGGCCAGGCATAGTGGTGGGTGCCTGTAGTCCCAGCTACTCAGGAGGCTGAGGCAGGAGAAAGGCATGAACTCGGGAGGCGGAGCTTGCAGTGAGCGGAGATCACCCCACTGTACTCCAGCCTGGGTGACAGAGCGAGACTCCATCTCAAAAAAAAAAAAAAAACACAACTACCTTGAGAATATTTATAGCACAAAGCTACTATTAGCAGCCTCATCCACCCTAAAGAGAATGGTTACTATTATAAGTTCCCAAGTATGCATTTGTAGAAGGAAGCAGTAGTTTATTAAACCAACTTTTTGATCTTGAAGCAACAGATTTGGGAAAAGATGGTTTTACAATAAAATATATAACTCCAACCTCCAGTTACATTGCTATTTTTTCATAGGACAGACATGGCACTGTGTGAATATTATGACTCAAGCTTAGTCATCTCAACTACGAATGAATTAAATTTGTTAGAGTAAAAACCTGAAAGGGAAAGTACATGCATGTAATTCTAAGTTGCTATTTTTAGAATGCGGTTTTTCTCCAAAGAGATTTTAAAAATGTATTTCCACATTATTTGTGCTATTTTCACTTTAGTACTCTGGTATACTGGCTACTAAATAGAAACAAGAAACAAACCCATTTTCCAATAGAAGGTCATTTATCATTTGAACATAGTATAAACTACATAAAAAAGGAAAAGTAATTTATTAAAGACCTGCTTGCTAAAACATTGAATTTTAGAGACATATACATGTAAAAAGACACTTGTGTTTATGCCCCTCTTATTTTCCTTGTATTATCAAAAAATTAACTGTAGAGTAAGAAGCCTAGTGAAAACCTCATTATATCTAAACTACTTTATTATATTTATTACATTGTATCTAAATGACTTTCCAGGAAAGTCCAGAAAACACAGAAGAGATTCACAGACTCTGCAGGACACACACTATGCTAACCCTATAAGTAGCTTCCAGGCTGATGGGGCTTCAGTGGTTTTTCCCTACAGAAAAGATAGTCTGAGGAAAAAAAATCTCTGTTTCTCTATTCTCTCTCCCCACTCCTTAAGAATAATCAGGAAAAAAATGACAGGCAATGCAGAGTGAGGAAAAGACTACCTGAATGCAAGTCAGGAAAACTGAGTTTTATTCCCCACCTGTGACTTATTATACAGTCTTAGGCAAGTTACTTAGCCTTTCTTGGCCTCTGTCTTTTGTTTCATTTTGTTTCATATGGAACACAAGCAGCACTGAAAAAAAACGTTTTAATTACACCGAGAAAGAGAGCAGAGACCATAGAGACCTACTCCCAACTTCACAGGTGAGGACACTGAAACAGAGAAACATGCCCAGCCATAGGTGATTAGATTAAAACAGTTCTAACAACAGTCACAGGTCCAACATTTTAAAAATTACTTATTTAAAAAGACAAGTTATTTACGTCAAATTTTTAGAACATGTAAAAAAAGTAACTAAGTAGCAAAAAGGATAACTGCCAAATTTAGGGTAATTATCTCTTCAAGAAGCCATAAAGAAATAGATTCTGGAAGACTTCAATTGTACTGGTAATATTTTATTTCTCGAACTGGGTTTGGTGTACATGGATGCTTATTTTTCTTCATATAGCATTTTGTATGAAATACTTTCTAATCTTTTTTTATGTAACCACCAAAACATCTTTAATCAAAAGCTAAAATAAATGAAAACACTTCTCTGGAACTTTAAAGGTCAATGAAAATAGTTGTGTATGGTTTCAAATGTTCTGCTGAGTTTAAAAGGTAAATATCACTATGTCCCCCAATACAAGAAAAAAATGTGTAATGTACTAAAAATACATATACAACTATTTCTAATCTAACTTAGTAAAATATAAAAGTACTACACAAATAGCACAAAACACAAAATAAATTTTATTACTAATAGCATGATAAACCCATTTAAGTATATTGAGAGACATACTTAACAATTTGTACTTTAAACATACTCAAGAGTCACATCTAGTAGCCTAGTGTTTCATCGTCAGATTGGCTAGCTGTTTTTATTGAAACAAATAAGAACTGCAAAAATGTACCTAAAGTAAGCAAAGGCCTATCTAAATATCTACATAGAACCATGCCTCCAAAATATCTGAAATTTTCCAACAAGAAAGTACAGGTCATTCAGCAAAATATATTTACTGTATACTACCATAATAGCTATTTAATTGTTATCATTATGATGCAGATATATAATGGAAACAGATGTTCCTTTTTCCTTTCAGCAAAGCAAAGGAAAAGCATAAACTTGCTGATATTGCATAGACTACTACCATAGCACAATAGAGGAAAAAAAGACATTAGCACATGACAATATTAGTTTTTACTACACAACTAATTGCATAAAAAGTATAACTTGAGGTCACTGAATCAATATAATTTTCAGCACTACAGAAGAGAAACAAATAGATTTGTATAAGCAGCCTATTTCACATCTGCAGTTGGGAAAATACTTTTGACAGATTAAATATATGCAAAACGTTACCACTGCTTTTAGAACACAAGGAAAAGAGTGTTTTTCTGTTTTCTTTCCTCATGTAACATGAATTAGAATGCTGCCACTACAGAGGAATTTTTTTTAAGTACCAGTATAAATGTGTAGAACCTTTCTGGAAAACAATTGGGCAATCAATATCAAGAACCTTAAAAAATAGTCTATATTCTCAGTCTAAGTGATTTATCTTTTAATAACATATTGTAAGGAAATAACCTTAGGGATGGCTAAAGATTTATTTAAAATGCTATTCATTACAACTTACTTTATACTAATGGAAAATTAAAAATCTGAGTTGTCTAATAGAGCAATAATTAAAGTAGATATGTTAAAACATTACAGAGTCAATATAAACAACTTTAATAATTTTAATCGTATTACATTACATGCTTAGAGGAATAAGGTTTAGAGAAGACACACAAAATGGCATTTCTAATTTTTGTAAATTCTGTCTTATGGGCATATACTACTACTTTTGTCAGAAAAAGATTTTTTCTTTAAACAGTTCTATTTCTGTGATCTGATATTCTCAGTCCAAAGTTTCTAAAATTCTTTGGGCAAAAGAGTCCTATAAATATTTACAGGTAAATTGACTTAAAGTTATGTTGACATGTTATGTTACTTGATCCTGAAATCTGGCACAGAAAAAGAAGTATTTGTCAATCACATAGACAACACCTTTTTTTTTTTTTTTTCTGAGTTAAACAGAATCCTTACAAATTAGGGAAAATTTTTATGGAACAAACATTACAAATGCTTCCTTAAGATCTACTAATATGTAGTATGTTGCTAATTCAAGGAAACTTTCAATTAAAAATATTTCTAAAGCAAATGAAGTAGCCCATTAATTGCTGTTTCCGTGTGCCAGTAAAAAAGTTTGCCATAGCTTTCCTAAGACTCTTAGTTTCCTGATTTCATTTTTACAAGAAGCAGCTGATTTGTCTTACGCTATTACTGTCTATTACTTCTAGAAGTCTTGAGCAAAGGTGGGAAGCAGCAAATTCTGGCAATCTGCCTAAAGAGAAATCAATGAAACAAATTAATCCTTTGCAGGCTGCAATGACACAGTAATCCATCATTCAGAGCTGCTTTTATACACCAAATCAGAGAGCAGAGGAAAAGAGCCCTGGGGGATATCACAGGCAACAACTTACACCAACACTGGGAAAATACTGAGGAATCAGTTTATTTAAAGAGGATAGATTTCAGTTGATTGCCTATTTCGTCAAATAAAGATTTTTCTTCCACAGTGTGGTGAACCCAAGGGCCAACGACTGTATCTTCAGAATTCCATACCATCTATGCTGGCTGACATCAATAGGAGATGAATGTTTTTAAATAATTAGCATCGTTAATCAGTATGGTAAAATATATGGGTAAAATAAATATTACTTTGTCGATCCAACTACAAAGTGTTATACACGGTCCTTGTTTTCACCAGAAACTAAGTGTAAATTTACCCACTAATCTACAACTTAACGAATTCCTGGTAAACCATATTTGAGGTACTTCTTCATACATAAAATGTAACCATTTAAGATATATGTTACTTCCTAATGCTGTGTTAAGTTTAAAGACTTAAAATTTTTAATTCAAGCTCTTGTGTAAATTCCAGCAAGCAAGTCAGATTATAAATAAATGACTTATTTTAAAATGATAAATAATTATTTTGTTCATAATGTAGTTGAGAGTGTTGGAAGATAAATGTGGTTTTCTTTTACAAATAAACTTATAATAAATGTACAGCAGTATATTTAAACTGAGTATATTTATTTATACTTATACAAAAGCCTATGTATTTAAATTTATTTGTGCTTCTGTAGAAAGTTATGCACCTTACCTAACCATGTCTTACTAGAGTAATGTATTCTAAGTAGAAGTATGTATCCTTGACGAAAACTAATGGCAAGAACTACAAAGTCACAGTGCATTACTACTGTAAATGCATGCATCATATTCATGGTTAAATGTGAGAAG